TTTTAAATCATAAAAATCTGATCAATGTATAATATATAGGAACATATATTCAGTGGATATCGAGGAACGAACGAGTCATTCAAATAGTAAGATGTTAGAAAATGCATTCATAGGATTTGCTAATATATATATATTAAATAAATAATATCGGTCGTTAATACAAAATTTCAATGCATTGAATAAATATCTATTAGCAGAAACTATTATAAATCAATAGAATATAATTGTATTGACGATTTTGAACTTTTTACTTGCAAGATTTATAGAAATTCAGTGTTTCACGAAAGATCCTGTTACTTCAACTATGAAAAAGTGTAAAATTGTTAAAGTACATTTTTATTACTAGAAGACAACCGTTTTACGTTAACCCTTTCAGGACTAGTTTTGCTTTCACGATCAGTGTATTATTCTTAAACTACCTTTTTGACCACAACTCAAAAAAATTTTTTTTTAAAAGCCAGGACCCCCTCCCCCTTCCTCCGACCTGAAAGGGTTAAGGTGTTTTACATGGACATGCAACTCATAAGTTAGGCTTATGTGAGAATATATTTAGATTCAAATGCTCTATAGTCTAAAGAATGACATGATGTAATTCTGTATATACGAGTAGAAAATCGCTGTAAATTCGAATCTTGACACTTCATTAATATCTATTTATGCTTAAAATATAGAGTGTAAAAAGTAACTTGAATAGATGAATATGTCTTCCCATTCGGCTATTTTTAAAAAATATAAGTTTTACGTTTAATATGGTTAATGTCAATAACATCTCTAGATTTCAAACTTACATAGTAAACCTCAGACAGAGTATACACATACGAAAATATGGATCATGATCATAAATTTTACAGTCTATTGTTGAACTTATCTACTCCAACACGAGATTGCAGAAACGAAAATAAAAAAAAACATGTCTACTATATTTACAATTTCAATAATTTGAAAAATTAGTAGCAAATATTTTTTTTGTGTACGGTGAATTGAAATTATGTATTTATTTTCTAATGTGAGAAATTGAATTCGATTAACGATAAATTTAATTTAAAAATATAACTTGCGACATCTATAAACAAATGAAAATTATTTTTTTATTTTTTCAAGATATATTTTTCTTCGAAATTTTCAAATAAATTTTTTCTTTGATTTTCTACTAAAATTTTATTATCACATTTCTCAATCTTGATCGAACGTGAGAGTTGAGAGTAACATCTTGAGTGGAGTTTCAGATTCTCTTTATGTTCATCATGGCCGTTGACGATGTCGATGCACGTATGAGTCCGGATTGAGAAAAACTCAACATAAACAAACAAACATATACATATTGCGACTAATATAAAAAATGATTATTCAACTATTAATCTATCAAATGTTTAATAATTTTCAAATATCATTAACTTCGACAATGCGTCGAAGACGTCGTTTATTTTAATGGCCAATACTGGCCACAATCAACAACAACAACCACAAGAAAAACAACAAGATCATCAACAAAAAGTTAAATATTTATATTTCAATTATAACAATAATAATAACAATAATAATAATAATAATTTAATTGTTTATCTAAATAAAACACCATCATCACAATCTGTATGCTCTGCGACATATCATCAACAATCGATGATGAGTTCGCCGACATCTCCTTGGTATCATTCATCAACTCTTGCCGGTGATAATAACGATGATTCGACAGTTTATGATGGAACTAATTTAACAACAATGACTAAACAATCATCATCACTTTCATTAAATACTGATTGTACATATACAAATCAACAACCATATGAAAATTATGGACATTTTTTTGTCAAAAAAACCTTTCATAAACCAACATATTGTCATCATTGTGTCGAAATGTTATGGGGTCTTATTGGACAAGGATATTATTGTGAAGGTAAATATTATAAAAAAAAAACAGGAATCTTCTAAATAATTATTTTAGTATGCAATTTTATTTGCCACGATCGTTGTCGAAAACACGTTATTTCGCCATGTTCAAGCATAGCACCTATACTTATCAAAGTAATTATTTATTATCATTAGAAAAGAATCTGATCATTTCATTTTAGAATCCCGTGTGTCACATATGGTCGGATATATCCCGGTTTAAGCGAAAATTTTGCAATATATGTCGAAAACGACTTGAAGATATTTCAGCTGTACGATGCGAAGGTAAATTTTTCCTATATATATATATATATATATAATCAGCATATGTATTGTATTGTGTTCAGAGAAAAAAAGAATTAATCAGGTAAAATTTGCCACTACTAATTTTTACTAACGTTTTTTTAAAAATGACTAACAACTAATATTTCTTTACAATTATGTATATATATTTTTTTTTTGATATTTAGTTTGCGAATATTATGCACATGAAGATTGTAAAGATTTTGCTGTTAATGATTGTCGTGAAACAGCTACATATGCACCACCAAGAGATAATGTAAATAAATACATAAATATATTTCAATTTATTATTTTTTGTTTTTTGTCTTTGAAATTTTAGTCAACAACACTAGTAAAACATCATCATCATTGGCGTGAAGGAAATTTACCAACAAATTCTAAATGTGCAATTTGTAGAAAAACATGTTGGTCAAGTGAATGTCTTGCTGGAATGAGATGTGAATGGTGTGGCATAACAGTATGTCTATCAAATAAAAGAAAGCAAAAAAAACATTTTCTTTTTTCCTTTTATTAGACACATAGTACTTGTCGTTCACGTGTACCAGAAGAATGTGGTTTTGGTACTTTAAGAGATATTATAATTCCACCGTATGCTATATCAATTCCACGTATAGCTGATCTTAATAAAGATCTTATATTGGGTATTGGAAATAATATGCATAAACCCATACAAACAACAACGACACCATCAAATAATAGTGCAGTAGCAGGACAAGATACTACAATTAATACAGCAACAGAACCAAAAAGTCCCATACCTTTCGGTAAATAATATTGTTTTCTTTAATTCTTATTTTCTTTTTGTCCGTCTATTGTTAATAAGTGAATTTCTCTGCACAAATTAATATATATTTTAATATATTGTATTGCACCTCGATGTATATTTTTGTAGTATCACAACGTAGTTTCAATGATGTACCAAAATCAGTGAAAAGAAGTGGTTCAAGTCTTGTTCGACGTATACAGAGACAATCATCAGTTGTATTACCACGAAAAAAAAATGCCGCATCACAACGGCCCACACAAAGGGGTACCGATTTTATTTAGATAAACAAAATATCTAGCACGTTCTCTTATATAATTTATTTGCCTGCATGAACATACAAGATTCCTAATCTTTAGTTTCTCTTATACACAATATCTTTCGATATTAATTGTTCATAAATATAAAAAAAACATTTTCTTTCTATTATTTTAGTGAGAAGTTCATCAACAGAACATCCATCAGGTGGAGATGCTGATCCTGGTGCAATTGAAAGAGATTATCGTAGTCGAGCAGCTGAAGCACATTCAAGTCCAAATGTACAAATGGAATGTACATCTGGTAAAAAACCACGAGATATACGGTCAAATAAAGGACAACAAGATGAAGAAGAGGAACGAGGTAATATTATTATTTTTTTTGACAAAGCTAAGAAACTTTAAAATTCACGACGATTTTTCGTAGAAATAATTCGAGTCTATGATGGCAATGCAACCTATCGCAATAGCACTCCACGTTCTATATCCGTACCTAAACAAGCAACTTATACCCAAATTCTGGTAAGTATTTTTTCTAGAATTTTTTTATGATTTTAAAATAAAACATATTTTTTTATTTTTTCAGGAGGCCGCTCTCCGCACATTCCATATCAATGATGATAGCACAAAATATTGTATTACTGTACCTACAGATGATGGTATGAGAAATTTTCTATTTAATAATTCTATTCTTTCGAGACAATTAAGTTACTTTGAAATTTTTCTTTTCTATAATGAATTATTATCAATTAAATCGAACACTAACATGTTCGGGAATATTTTCAAAAAAAGCTTGTTTATGTCACTTCTTCAGATTGCGAACAATATCTGATTCTATCAATTCCTAAGGGATTTTACTATCCGAACATTATTAAATACTATCAGATTTATTTGATTTTCTGATCAGGTTCTTTTTTTATACGAACTAAACGATAAATTAAAAATCTAATCATCGATTAAAATTTCATTAGGAATCGAAATTTTTCACATTAGAATATTTCATATGATCTGTCTTTTCCTGTTTTTTTAGGCGATGGTGATCAATCAATTGATGAAACAATGCCATTGAAATCCCTTAAACAATTAAGCGGTCGTAAACTTAATATATATATTCGATATAAAGAACGATTTGATATGGATTTTGATTATATTCGCGTTTATCCTGGCATACTTAAGTATGTATTATTTTAAATATAATTTTTGTTTTTCAATATATATTTTTTTCATAGAACTCATGATGGTTATAAAGTTATTAAAGTAACATCATCTAGTACAACATCTGAAGTTATTGCTAAAGCTTTAGCTGATTTTGGTATACATAATGCTAATGCGGAAAAATATTCATTGGTCGAAGTATTACTTATATCTAATGTTAATTATACTGATCGAATATTAGAACCTCATGAATATCCTTTACATGTTTTAAGACAACAGAGAAAAGAATCTGTTCGTAGTCATCGTGTAACACGTTTTTATTTACAACATAAAGATGATCCACATGGTCCATCGGTTTCTTTATTTGTTGGCAATTTACCTCCCGGTCCAAGTACGGAAAAACAATATGAAAAAATTCTTTTTCAAGATATATTTCAATCTAATAAAGATTTAAAATGGGATAATATGGATGTTATTTATTATGAACATGGAGCTATGGTTTTAGTTTATAATGATAGTCATCGTGCAACACGTGCATTTACTATTTTACAAAAAGCATATTATGATCAAAATAAATTATTAGTATTAATGTTACCAAATATTCAACCACAAGTATTAACATCAAATATAAGTCCATTACTTGTATTTGTTAATGTTAAATCTGGTGGACAACAAGGAGCTGAATTAATAACGAATTTTCGTCATTTACTTAATCCACATCAAGTATTTGATTTACAAAATGGTGGACCATTACCTGGTCTTTATGTTTTTCGAAATATTCCACATTATCGTATATTAGCATGTGGAGGAGATGGAACAGTTGGTTGGGTACTTAGTTGTCTAGATAATGTTGGTCAAGATGCATTATGTCAATCACCACCTGTTGGAATTGTACCACTTGGTACAGGAAATGATTTAGC